GTAGTTCACGTAATGTGTTTAGAGCATCATAACCCTAAGAAAGAATGTCTAGATTATATTATTGCCAATGCAACGGAAGCCATGGTTATATTTTATGGGGAATTCATAATAAAAGCCATGAGGTACAACTATTTTTTAATATAGTGGTTTCTTGTATAATCCTATAATCTCAGAGGATCTGAAAATATGTCCACAGGCTTAGCCACATTGCCAACATGTCTGCAGCACAAAAATATTTAAGGAACCCTGATCTTGAACCTGGGAGAATAGTAGTATTGGCTGGGGCTCAGCACTCTGTACACTCAGGGACAAGATGAATGATGGATTTACTCTAGCAGGAAACTAGCTCTGAAGGAGGCAAAAAGGATGCTAAAGTTCAAGGTTTTCACAAGCAAGGCATCCAGAGTTCAAAGAAACATCCTTTCATTCTCCATAATCAACATTCCTGGAGGGAAGGCTCCTCTCATCCTTTTAAGGAAGCATGGCAGGGACAAAGTATCAGGATGGGGGAGCAAGGGTTGAGCAGGGTGATATGCTGGAATGAGGAATAGGGGCTAAGGGTGGGAAATATTCTCTTACGTACAAATTCAACTATCATCCAAGAAACAACCAATCATCAAGTTCCATGGTAAAAGGAGACAAACAACCACAAAAAGGAAACAACAACCAATCAATAAACCCCATGATGAAACTAGACAACCAATCAGGAAAATCCAAATTTATCCCATAAAAGCCTTCCCTAACGCCCTATCCACATAACAGCAGTTCTCCTTGGATACTCAACTGCACAGTGCTCTCCTTGAGCAACATCATAACGAAACTTTTACAAACCTCTTCTACTAACTGGACTTGTCAAATTCTTTTACTAACCTTGCCTGCCTGGGAAATTCACAATATGAACATTTTTGTGGCTAAGAGACAACACTCAATCCCACATCTACTATTAAAGCGTCATTTTCTTTTTTTTTAAGGTTTTATTGTAAAGCTACTATACAGTTACATGAGTAAGGTAATGAGTACCCCCTCCATTGTTTTCCCACTACTATCCCTTCCCTCCCTACCTTCCCCCGAGGTTCTTTTTTTTTTTTTAATTGTGATTAAGTGATTACATAATTTCCCAAATTTCACAGTATTGTGGAATAATGTTGCTCATTTAAAGTCACAAGCTCATACTAACTTTCCTGGAGCAAATTGTCTAGCACGGTCTATAACATATATCGGTGTACACATATACACCATACATGTGATTAGCAGCATGGGGATATTTAGTAGTGGTTCGACCAGATGAGTGGAAGTTCTTTGTTTCTTAAGCCCTGTTAATTTTGTCATATCACCTAAAATTTTGGATTTAATATCCACTTATCAGGGAGACCATGTACCATTTGTCTCTTTGCTCTTGGCTTACCTCGCTCAACACGATTTCTTCTAGCTCCATCCATTTCCCTGCAAATGCCATTATTTTGTCATTTCTAATGGCTGCATAATATTCCATTGTGTATAGATACCACAATTTTTGGATCCATTCATCTGTGGTGGGGCATCTGGGTTGTTTCCATGTCCTAGCTATTGTGAACAGTGCTGCAATAAACATGGAGGTGCATGTGTCCTTGTATTTTGGTTCCTGTTGTTCAGGGTAGATGCCTAGAAGTGGTATGACTGGATCGTAAGGGAGGTCAATCTTTAGCTTTCTAAGGACCCTCCAGACTGCTTTTCAAAGTGGTTGTATAAGTGTACATTCCCACCAACAGTGTAATAGGGTTCCTCTTTCTCCACATCCCCTCCAGCATTTGTCGTTGGCTGATTTGTGGATGTGGGACATTCTGACTAGGGTAAGGTGGTATCTCAGGGTTGACTTTATTTGCATTTCCTTCACCACCAGGAATGATGAACATTTCCTCATGTGTTTCTTTGCCATTTTTATTTCTTCATCTGAGAAGTCCCTCTTTAGTTCCCTTGCCCATTTAGTAATTGATTTGTTAGGTTTGGGAGGGATTAGTTTCTTGAGTTCCCTGTATATACTGGATGTTAACCCCTTGTCTGATATATTGCTGGTAAATATTTTTTCCCAATTAGTTGGTTGTCTTTCTAGCTTGGTTACGATAGATTTATTAAAGCATCATTTTCACATTGAGTGTCTCATATAGGATAAAAATGATTCAGGAAAATGTCTCAGTAAACTATGTTTAATATAAACATATTAAGAAAATATTCTAGAAGAAAAAATGTCAACTATCTCTGCTGAGAATTTAATGCTATTCTTAAGGATGTGTTGCTGGGATATATGTTAGGTAATTAAATTCAAGTACTATGCAGAGAACAGCCAGACTTCGTTTTCCTTGTATTTGTTGAGCAGTTTGTCACATATAAACCCATGAATGCTTGAAAAAGAAATTTCACTATGTGTCACTAAATGGTTAACTGTTATGAAAACTCATTCAAAGCCACAGCTGCTTGAATATGTACAATTTTTCCCCGTGTCATTTGCCTTCCTGTAGAACCTGGGGCCAACTTCATATTTTCTCCCCTGGAAACCAGTTTAACTTTAGATGTTTTAGTGGAGTAGAAGCTTGGCTCAGGTGTGGCTGAGGGAATCAGCAGCTGGAGAGATTTGGTCACATTCCTTAATCTGGTGTTTCTCAACCTGGTGACACAGTTTTAAAATATGATTACCCAGGTTCTCTCCTCCCCTACGCTTGAGTTTAAGTAGGCATGGAATTTGGACTTTCACATTTTTAAAAAAACTTCCCTTGATGGTGCTAATAATGGGCGATTAAAGTGGATAGAATTTGGGAAGTTTTAGGTTCCCTACATGAAAAACATCGTTCAGGTTTTTGGTATCTTGGGAATTCTATGAAAGGCAATGGAAATAATAGACTTAACATTTAAACACTACAAATTAAAGATGATGAGAAAATATGACAGAAGACCTCAGCCATTGGTAAGCATTACCTATATTTCAGTTTTAGCATCTAAAAATTTCATATGATCCAAAGAACAAAGATTTAGTTTTGTAATAGCTTTTATTTTGTAAAAGATTTTATTAGCATCCATTTGTTGTACAATGGTTTTCATTGTGATATTGTCATGCTTGCATACAAAGTATCCCATAAAACACACATTCCCTCACTCTTCCTCATATCCCCATCCTTTCTTCAAACAATTTCAACGGGTTTCATTGTTTTGTTTACTATTCACACATATAAAGTAGGTTCATATTCACCCTCATTCATCCTATTGGCTCTCCCTTCTGATATTTCCCATCCCCAAAGCAGAGGCTGTCCTGTCATACATTTTATCATTTTTAACATATATTAATTATACAGAAGGGTTTTACTATGATATTTCACAGGTGCATATTATTATACTTTAGTCAGATTGGCCTCCTCTATTGTTGTCTCTGTATCCTACCTACACCTTAGTATTGTACAACAGCTCTCAATGAGATTCCTTCTGCCATCTACATACATAAACCTATGTTGCAAAAGTTTATTTTGATCATCATTAATGTTTTGTAACTTCATTTTTTGTTAGGTCTGGGCTTTACTATTTCTTATAAGGGATACAAATAATTTTAAAACCTCTAAAATAAGTTCTTTATAAATAAACAACTGACATTTTGATTATATAAATAATTAAAAAATAAATGTCTTGGATCAATTAAATAATATTATTTTATTCAAAGATTATTTGTTTGTTTGTTTGTTTGTTTGCTGTTTTTGTATGAACTCAGGGTGCTGTCCCTGAGCCTCTTTGTGCTCAAGGCTAATGCTCTACCACTTGAGACACAGTGCCACTTTCAGTTTTTGAGTGGTTAATTGGAGATAGGAGTCTCACAGGGACTTTTCTGCCTGGGCTGGCTTCAAACAGTGATCCTCAGATCTCAGCCTCCTGAGTAGCTAGGATTACAGGTGTGAGTCACCAGCATCTGCCTATTTTGTTTATTTTTATTAACTGGTAAGCAAGAAGAGCATACATGTCCTGCAGGCCTGTAGACTTGGGACGCATTACTTTTTGTGTCAGGTTATATGTCTTGAAGGACAAAGAGAGAAGCAGAAGTCATCTTTCAGATCAAGAAGATGAAGCTCAATAAGGCTAGAATCTCAGAGGTACTTGGCTTCAGTCTGATTCCACAGAAAATTTGCAAGTGTAAACAACACAGAATTTGTCCCTCTGAGTGAAAAGGGCTGGGCTTTTGCACCCTGGTTAACAGTCAGGTTTGAGTTGGGGCCATTCCCTGGAAAATAGAGACATCTGGGAGCCATAGCATCTAGACTTACTACAGCTGGGGAAGTGGTTCTCTGGCTGGCACAGGAGGGCTGGGAATAGTACCAATAGTTATTCATTCAGAAGCTGTTGCCTCTTGCTCAAATGATTATTCTCGCCCTTTGCCATTTCATGGTAATAATTTCATTTCTTTGGATAAGATTAAAGAATACCACTGAATGTGTCACACTTTAGGTTCATATCTTAGCTATCAAGGAGATGAAATAAATATTTAATGAGCACCTACTGGTACTCAGTAGTCACAGTGTGAGGTGATGCTATACCATTATCTTTTATCAATATCTCCTCTGGTGACTAAAGGGACACTTTAATATGAAAAAATTGTTAGGTTGAGAGAAAAATCTACCTAATATGGGTAATAGAAGAGAGGAATAATTTCAAAGAAGAAAACATTGACACTTTGAGGACATATAACAAAAGTTACTGTGCTTTGTTTCTCTGTGAAAAATGTCAGGAAATCTACATGGAATACTTGAGTAAATAAATAGCACTAGAAAATGAAATTATGACAATGAAGAACTCTCAACAGAATGGGTCTTTTCTTTCACAATTCTTCCTAAAGTCAAAGCTAAAGAAAATAGAAAAGAAAACCCAAAAGGTCAGGGATTTGATTTAGATTTCAATAAACACCAAAATCCATATTAACAAAAGATGTTGGTACTACATAAGAATAGTGTCCATCCTCTATCTCCCATGATAACCTCTATTTATTTTAACATCAGATGGGTAATATGCCCATGTGGCAACCAGGTTTGAGGGAGGCACGTGTCATCCAAGCGTGTGAGAACTCAGTCATCATGCTTATGAACTGGAAGAAGATCATCTCTATTTTGTTTTTATTGCCACAAAGTCTAATGTTATTTTGAGACATTTACCTTGAAAGATAATTGACTTAATGCAATAGCCTACAAATGGCCAATTGTGATTCAGTGAATTCCTTCTCCTTAACCCAAATTAAAACTTTGCGCATTTGACAATCACAGTGGAAAACATTTGTTTTCCTTCCAATCTTCTCAGGCAGAATGCCCATCAGATTTTCATCAGCCTTGCAACACATTCTTCTGGCATGAACATGTTTTCATTAAAGCATGCTGGAACATTCTGCCAGGGTCACAGGAAATGAACTGCAGGTGTGAGTTGGGGGTCTACACACTTCCCTTCCCTACAGATCCATGGATAGAATCCCATCAGCTGGACCTCATCAAAGTCCTTCCAAAAGTCCACCTTCTTGTTGTCATTGTCCTTTTACCAATCAAGAATGTTGGTCTGCATCTGAGAGTACTAGTATTGCTATAATTTTGTTATCCTTGAACTACAGTTCTAGAAAGATCACAAATTTACAAGAACAGAAATACCCACTTATTTCACCTCCTCCTCCCCACTGTCTTACAGCTGGCTGAAAACAATGATCCCTCCCAAGGCCCACTCAACCATTTGAGTTTTGCCATGTTTCTCATTCACAAAATTAGCACATGTACAGGTCACATGTTTTTAAATTAAAATTTAGTAAGATGCTAGTTAATACAATTTGAATCCAGAAATACAAGCTATATAAGATATGAATATTATGGCTTTCATGTAGGTACTAGTCAGAGTTCCCAAGAATTTAGAGGGCTAAAAGAATTGTTTATACATGTGTTTATCCATGGATACACCTTTCTAAATTTGACTTCAATATCATGAGACTGGATTAAAAAATTTCTGAGATCTAAACTTAATCTTAAAATCACATAGTCTGCCATCTATCACGATGAACTAATTGTAACCCTCTTCTCTCTCATGTAGGCCCAGAAAGGAGAGGTTAGGAAAAGCTACTTGGTGAATGCAGGCTCTTTGTCAGGCACTCAGTCAGGGATTTTGCATAGATTATCTCTAATCCTTTCAATAATAATCTCATTTGCTGACAGACGCCTGTTAAGTGACTTGACTAGGGCCCAACATTGAGTCAGACCGAGAAGCTATGTGGCAAAAGCTCATATTTTCAAGCACATCACACATGGTTTGACACATCAGAACTGGAGCTCAGGTTCTTCTTTTGAGCTCTAAAAAATTTGTGCATAATCCTGCACATCCAAGAAAAGCTACTGGAAATACATTAAGGTATAGTTCCATAATACAATAGTAGCAATTAAGACTGTTGAGAAGCATACTTAATGGAGGAAGGCTCTATTTTTGCTCATGATTTTGGAAGCTTCAGTCCCTGTCACTTGGCTCCTTGTTTCTGAGTATGTGCATGGTGAGGCTGAACATCTGAGTTGGGAGTGTGTAGTAGAGCAAAAAGCTCAACTTATGATGGCTAGGAGACTGAGACAGACATGGTGGAAGACTTCAGGGATAAGATATAGCCTTCAAAACTGGACTGTGGTGGCTGAGATCTGAGGATTGTGATTTAAACCGAGGATTTAATCTGAGGACACTTATCTCCAACTAAACCAAAAAATGGGAAGTGGAGCTATGGCTCAAGTGGTAGAATATGAGCCTTAAGCATACTAAGCTCAGGGACAGTAACCTGAGCCCTAAGTTCAAGCTTCAGTACCAGAACACACATACAGACACCCAGACACATAGACACACAGACACATAGACACACAGACACACACAGACACACACACACACAAACACACACACAAAGATAAACCTTTCAAATGCATGCTATCACAACTTAGTCTGTCTATCCAGGCTGTGCCTCGTAATAGACCATTCAGCTATGAGTTCCTCAATGGATTAATCAGTGGCTAAGATGAAAGCCATTGTGATCTGATCAAATCTCAAAAGCATCCAGCTAGTACCTAAGCTTTTAGCATGCACATTTAAAGAGATACTCCATATTCAAATATAATAGGCAAATAATGTAATAAGTTGAGTTTGTCATTAAAGGCTGAATTTATATATATGCATTGGTCCACAGTGGTTGAGTTTGGAAGTTAAGCTTTGGGGTGAATTCAACTCATCTTCTCTTTCAGAATTTTGACATCTTCTACAATGAACAACGACAACCTGAGGAAAGTTGCTGAGCACATCAAACCTGTTGGTTCATCTTGAATGGGACAATAGTAATAATTAATAAAAAGTCTATAATATAGTGTTATCATGAGGGCTGCATGACAAAATCTTGAAAAATATTCAACCAAGTACCTGGCCTTTGTCATGCATTACATTTGTCACTGGGAGAAAAGGGACCTCTAAGGCGATTGAACTTTCAGTTTAAATGTAATGCAAGATACATTTTCCTACAAGCTAGTTAAATTGAATTTTATGTAGTTCCTACAGGCATCATTTTAAAAGACATCAACAGTCCTTGTTGGCCAGCCCCTTTAAAACTTGGTAATCACTTGTTTCCATTGAGGTCAAGCTTTTAGGTAGCTACACACTTGATGTTACATCATTAATACACAGAAGTTTAAAAGCTCTAGCTGGAGACTGACATCAGTGTTGTCTTCTTAGGGCTGTCAGTATGGCTCAGTGTAGCGAGTGTGGTAAAGGCTGCTTCTGCTGTATCAGTTTTCCTGAGAAATAGGATTTTCTTAGAACAATATCCAGGGAAACACAGTGAAGAACTCATGTTTGAATAAAAAGAACATAACAGGTTTGCTGGAAAGGGCCTATACTGACATTATTGTACTTTGTTGAGTTAAGTAGAGTGTGCTTCTGGCCATGATTCAAGAGGAGATGAGCCAGAGATGGTGTTTGATCAGGACAGGAAGTCACATAAGGACATTAAAGAAAATCATGGACTCTCTCTGGAGTATTAGTTTTCATGAATCCCTGAGTCTATGGACCTGAGTCTGTGGCCAAAGTATTTTAGAAAACAGCTGGATGCTGAAGACTTACATCTACAATACAAACTACTCAGGATTTTGAGATTCTGAAGCTTCTTGTTGAAAGCAAATCTGGGCAGACAAATATGAGACTATTATCTCCAATTAGTCAGTAAAAAACTGGAAACAGATGTGTGGCCAAAGTAGGACACCACTGGTTTTAAGCAAAAATGCCAGGCAAAACCAGAAAGTACTGAGTTCAAGCCCCAATACTGACACAAAAACATAAAATAGAAAATTTGCTTTATTGTTAGATAAAACATAAAACCAGCCAATGTGATCTTTAGAATCAAAAAGATACTATTACAGTTCCCGAGAACCAAATTTGCAGCACCAAATTATTCTACCTCACAAATGTACCTAAAAGCTAGAGTACTGCATAAAATCCTCTGATTGTATCATTTTCCTTGTGTCTTCTCAGGAGGGACTTGGATAGTTGAATGGCTAACCTTTGGACAGTTGAGGCAGACAGTTGAGCTTGGGGGTTCTGAAAAATGAATCCGAGAACATTTTTATAACTTAATTATCTTGAGCTCTCCAACATTTCTTTATCTGTCAGCGTTACCATATTAAAATTGTATCATGCCTGAAATGTCTATTCCTGCAGTCAAAATCACTCAAGGTTGAGATTTTTTTCTCCTTCTCAGATATATTGCTATCTTGCTAGATGGTGGTTTTATTTTATCATCTATCACAGTAAAAGCTGGCTGAAATGTGTGCGATCAATGTATTAGCATTTCTTACGTTGACACCACCATTCCACTGTACAATTCAGTCTCAGCAGGCTGGGAGCTATGATGGCCACATCTAGAAAGGGGAAATAGAAAAGACTAGGATGCTCTAACAGTTTGTCAAGATGACCCTGATCATAGTAGTAGAAGTCTTTAATCCATCACATTGTCCTGGCTCATAGGCAGCCACCGCAGTCTTCCTCTTACACGTTCCTAAAAGGTCCTAGTACCTTCTACATCTGTACACCATCCCATTTCTTATCTACAAAGAGGAGATGGGTTAATAGCAGTATAGACAGAAAATTGTTTTCATAAGGAGTTGGGAATAGAGCTGTAAAACCATAATGTCTTCCAGAGCAACTTTTTGTCATGCAGCAATGATAACAAATGTTCAGGATTAGTCAGAAGGGGCTGCAGTCCCTCTTCTTGAATATCTTTGTAGAGGATAGCTGCTTTAAGGATCTTGTTATAACTGCTTTCCTACAAACAAGCCTATCTCACTAGTGTAAAAATACGATAGTTCTCTCAAGAAATTGCCTTCACTCAGATTTTCTCTTCGTTTTCTTTTCCACTTCTCCTGTTCTCATAGACACCTATCCCCACCACAACTTCTTCATGGGGAAACAATAGGCTGGGTCTCCTCAGTTGTGTAATTTTCCTTTCTCTTCTACTTTCTGGACTGTGTACATACATCAGCTTACTTAAACCTGTTGAAAATTTCCTGGCTTTTGTTTCAATTTCTCTTGCCAAGTAAATTTCTCTATGATACAAGCTCTAATTTTTTATTGACTGCCAAAACACATGCCTTCCATTCAGACTCAACTTGTGTCATTCATGTTTATAAAGTATCCTCATTTCACAAAATTAGTCATAATTTTCTCACCTTGTTGTGCTTCACTGACATTGAGAGCAATTCTTGGGCAATGTTTTCCTGACTGTTTTTAAAGTTTTTTTAAAGTATATTATTTATTTATTTTTTATATTTTTTGCAAGTCTTGGGGCCTTAACTCTGGGTCTGGGCACTATACCACCTCAGCCACAGTGTCATTTTTGGCTTTTTTCAGTAGTTTATTGGAGATCAGAGTCTCATGGACTTTCCTGCCTAGTCTGGCTTTGAACCACGATCCTTAGATCTCAGCCTCCTGAATAGTCAGGATTACAGGCATGAGCCATGAGCATCTGGCTGTTTTATTTTTAAAATATTTTTTATTATCTTTAAGTAGTTGTACAGGGAGTTACCATTCAACAAAGCAGTGTATGAATTCAGTGAG